GAGTCCTTGTGGCTTGTTTATGGTTTACATAGGTATTTTATTGAAACCCCTCACTTTTAGACTTAATGTACTCCTAAAGAGGGACAATCTGAGCAACACTTTTTGGTTTTGAGTAGAAACACTATATTTTTCTAGCTTAAAAAAAATAAGCAAGATACTCTATTTCTTTGGCATGCTTACAGTTTTGTCCATCTGTTAGAGTGGCACAATGCCCACTCTGGTGTACCACATATGGTGTACCAGTTTCAACCAGGCACAGGTGCCAATGAAAGATCAGTTTCGTTTTCTGACACAGGATTTTTCTAGTGGGAAGCAATGCCCTGTTAGGGGAAAATGCTTTGTAAGACTGATTACTTCTGTTGGCATGTGTGTATCTCATAGTAATAATTAGCACTTATGCAGTGCTTTACATTTTCAAATCACTGTTTTTAAAAAAAAAAAGAAGATTGAAAGCATTGCTGAATGACAGTCTTTTGTATCCATTTTACTGCGATTTCTGCAATTAAAGGGAGGGTGGGGGGACGTGTGTTGTGCGTATTGACCCAGGAACAAGCACAAGATAAAATGTTTCTTAATTGAAATTCTTTCTCTTTGAAGTTTAGTTACTGATGAATTTTAATAAAATTGCAATTCTCTGTATGACTGTATTGACTTTTTTGAGGCTGCAAAAGAAAACAAAGGAACAGAGATTATGGTTTTCAGGAGGAGGCCTCAATTACAGAATCACAGAATGGCTGAGGTTGGAGGGGCCTTGAGGTCACCTGAGCTGACCTGCTCACGCAGAGTCACCTAGAGCAAATTGTCCAGGACTGTCCAAAAGATGACTTTTGAATATCTCCAAGGATGGAGGCTTCACTGCAGGATTTTGCAGTTCCCTCTATTGAACCATATGAGGCTCCTGCCAGCCCACCTCTCCAGCCTGTTAAGGTCCCTCTGGATGGTAGCATGACCCTCTGGCATATCAGCCACTCCTCCCAGCTTGGTGCCATGAACAAATGTGCTGAGGGTGCCCTCTACCCCATCATACAGGTCATTAATCAAGATGTTGAACAGGACTGGACCCAGTATTGACCCCTGAGTACACTAGCCTCCGATTAGACTTTGTGCTACTGATCACCACCTTCTGGACCCAGCCATTCAGGTAGTTTTCAGTCCATCTCACTGTCTGCACGTACAGGCTGTACTTCAACACCTTCTCAGAGGGGATGATAGGGCCAGGGAGATTGTGCCAAAGGCCTTACTGAAGTCCAGGGTTTTGATGCTCATTATTTGAGTCCTTTATTATTTCTCTTTTGCTGAGTGTTTTTATTATCTTTGAGAGTCCATGCTTAAGCTTGGCTTTACTTGGCATGCTGAGACATTTCTGGCATCTGAGACATGGGATTTTCACAAGAAGACAAACCTGTTTCTGCACAACTTCAAATGTCGACCTATTGAATGTTGACCTTTTTCTTTTATTTGGCTAGACCATTTCTCCAGGCCAGGTTGGATGGGGCTTTGAGCAACCTGGTCTAGTGGAAGGAGTCCCTGCCCATGGCATGGGAGTTGGAACTAGATGATCTTTAATGTCCTTTCCAACCCAAGCCGTTCTGTAATTCTATGACTATTCCAGTTTGTCAGTGGAATTCTGGCTTCTTCTTTGTAGGCTTCCTGGCCACTGCAGCCTGATAGCACTTCTGATCTTCATATGCATAATTTTATTCCTTCATCCAAATGTTTAAAATTATCTGTTGGAACCAGACAAAGGAGGGACCCAATACAAAATGTTATCTTCACTATTTTTTTCACAGCAAGCTAGTATCTAACTGTAGTTTTCCAGCTGTTATTTGTACCCATTCTATATTAACTTCAGGCAGCCCGTATTTTTTTCTGGCATATTTCACAGTGTTTCCAATGGTATTCTCATGCCTTTGGGAGGTCAAGGTATAAGATGTGTTTACAGCTTTGCTTTCATGGGGAGACTATTTTTTTTTCTGTCCAAGTCAAAAATTATACTTGGTTCTATATAAATGACTAAAATATTTATTTTGCAAAAAATTAATCATATCCTTCTATGTTTTAGAGTGTCACTTAGAAAATATTTTGTCAAAGTGTTGGTTTTTTTCTGGGTAATTTTGACCAGTCAGCTTAACTTTGTTTCTTTAGACTATCCTTTCAATTTTTTTCCTCTTAAAAAGTAGGCATGTGGGCATTGTTTTATTTTATTTCAAATGTCTGGATTCTCATGTATTTTTCATGATTTCTCAGAGGTAACAGTTAAGGTTACTCTGGGTTGTGTAGGACCTGTTGGAGTGAATTTAACCAATCATTGCAATTTAAACAGATTAACTTCTCTATGAATTCTGTGTCTTGTAGTTCACTATTTTTGCTTTTGTTATTGCTCCCTTTCTGCTGGTATTGTAGTTACTGTCTGATTCCAGCTGACCTTTTTGTGAAAAAATGAAAGAAAAAGGCACTTCTATTTTCTTGACATTGTCCATTTTATTTCCCAATGAGTATTAGAATAACTCCTTCCTTTCTGCTCATCTTACTGATATATCTATGGAATTTGGTTTTTATGGTTTTGTTTTTTACATGCATTACTTTTTTTCATTTTGTTATGTGACCTTTCTGAGTTTGTGTTGCTGTATAAATGTTCTGCTGTTACACTTGTCCTTGATGATTTGACCTAGTTCTCTTTTTCCTGTTACTCCTGCATTTTGAATCATCAAAGCCTTCGTGAATTGCCAGCTGGTCTCTTACTATATATACTTCCCACCATCTTCCGTGTTAAGACAGTGTGTATTTGTGTACTGAATACTGCTTCTGTGAGAAGTACTTAGTTGTCCTGACTCCTTTCCACCAGAATTTGATTCTGAGAAGAAGAAATCTCTCAGCAGAAAAAAGTCTGCTTCCATGAATACAGTGAAGTCCATTGGCTGTCTTCACTATTTTCCCTTTTACGCTTACTAAGGATGACTGATTGTCATTTTGTGAACATTGTCAGTTACTTTGCCTTCCATCCTTGCATTCTCTTTGCTAGTTTATTTCTACGTTAAAAAACAAAAGAGAAAAAAACCCCAAAACTGGTTTTCAAGAACTGGCTGAACAGTCTGTCGTATTGCAGAGTCTGAAGAATTGAAGAGCTCCTTCAAGGGATGTATTTAGGACAGGTTTCTTTTTGTCTTAGCAATACTCAAGCAATACTCATAGAACAAATGTTAAAGCTTTTTCCTCCATGAGTTGCAACGCTCAGTTGTTCTTCTGTATAACACGAGCTGGAGTTTCCCCATTGCATTTTATTTTTTTCTAGTTCCAATGTTTCTTTAGTTTAGTCATTATGTATTTTGTATTTCCGTGTTTTGTTTTGATAATTATTCAGAAGTGTATGGATCTTTCCTAAAAGGCAGCTTTCTTTTAACTGTATAACATCTACACCTCTGTTGTTAAGTTTTACCTCACCTCTGGGTACATAATTTGGAGTGGAGGGAGAAGGATCAAATGCCCACTATGTATTGCAATGATGAATCTCAAACATCTTAATATTTGCTCTATTGAAGCTTTAAGTCTTAAGAAAGGAGTGTTACAAGTAACCTCAAAACCTGTTCTTCTACATATTTTTATGAAAATTTCTGTTTTCTGCCACAAAAGAAGAAGCCTGCTTCAAAATGAAAGAGAAGGCCAATGTCCTTTTCACACTTGTGGTTATGGTTTGTATCTGACACAAGAACATTTGAGCTAGTTAGTATAGCAGTTTCCCTGTATAATCAGTGAATAGAGAGAGTTATTTCTCTGGAAGCTGTTCAACTGAATTTAATTAAGTAACTTAATCCCTAAAGGTGTCCTCTTCTCTTGACCAGTTAGAAAGGAAGCTTAGTGTACTGTCTTAGGTGTAGGTGCCTACTTCTGGTGAAATTAATCTTAATCTTGCCAATTGCCCTTTCCAGAGACCATTATTGCAGTTCTCTTTAAGCACTGAGGGTCAAACCCGCATTACCAGTAGAGAAGAATTGCTCTAGAGATCAAGGAAAGTAGGAAAGGGATTCAGTCAATGAATGTAGAGTTCAACTTTGTTTTTTGACATGCCAAGTCAAAGATTGATTCTTGTGATGCCTGTAGAGCCCATGTTACTTGAATCAAGAAACTGCCTCTGAATGAGCAGAGTGCTTCCCTCTGTTGCTTGTGCCTGCAGAGCAGAGGTTGTGACAGATATGTTTTTATGTGAAGTACCCATGTACTGTGTGGACCTTGGCTGAAGAAGGGTTTATTGCTATATTTGTCTCAAATATGCCTGCTTGTAGTACGCAAAATCAGCTACATGATACAGTCTTTAAAGACTTTTTTTTTTTAGTAGAAGCTGTAGTTATTCTTGATCTCTTAACCCCAGAGTTCCTCACCCTGCTGTAAAACTGCTTGCTGAGTGTGAGAACTAACTGCTTCTGCTCAGATGCTGAAATTTTTGAGCTCCATGGCGTTCTATTGCAGTGATAATGAAAGTACCTGAGGTACTTGCTAAATACAGTAACCCTGGAGAAGCAGCTCATTGTGCCTTTGTAGGTTAGACTGCAGTTAAAACAGGTTTTTTTTGTGATGCTTCATGAGTAACCATTAAAAAAGAAAGAATTTCTTGTTCATATGGTAACGTGGAAGAGAGTGGCCAGTAATGACAGAGCTCTAGCTAAGGATGATAAATGTTTCTAAATCTTGGGCATTAACCTTTGCAGGTGATGAATTGTGGAAACTATGTGAAGCTTCTGCCATTTTAATTATCTGGCTAAAACATCTTGCAAATGGGGAAATTTCTAATGTCTCTGAGAACAGAAAATGACTGCAATAACAAATGCCAGCATATTGCAAGAAGTGGCCTATGCTTTTTAAGTCTCTGTATCCATATCTTGAGTGGTAGAAAAGATTGTGAGATTAAATGCTGTTTATTTTTTTTAATTCTAATTTTAATTTAGATTTCTAACTTTACCTTGAAATGTGTAAACCTAAAGTTATGGCATGCTTTATTTTGACAGATAAAGAAGGACATACATTTTCTATACTCTGGGTGCTGGTGAGTGTTATCCTAGGTGCAATAGCCATGCTGTGCAAAGAACAAGGAATTACAATACTGGTAAGAATTGTCTTATTGACTGAATTTTGACCTCAAGATCTGTCAGATGCAGTTGTAAAGCCTACAAAGATTAATCTTCTCCACAGCTAATGGCGTGCACACGTTTTTGTTCTGTTCAGAAAACTAAATAATGTTGACAAAAAGCAGGATTCTAGTAGATCTGTCATGACTGTGTCCCTGCCAATCTGTTCATTTTTTCATTTTATCTTTTGTAAGCAGGTTGCATATATCTGTTAATTTTTTGCAAAGTTTAAAAATTTTACAGTATTAGTTTCAATGCATGTCACTTTCGTTGGCCTTGGTTTTGAATGTAATTGCCGAGATAGCAGGCCTACAAACTTGAAGGCTTTTGGACAAAGATAGATATAACTGGATAAGAGCATTTTTAGAAGGTCTACCCACTTGCTTTTGCAAACAGTGTAATTAGAATTAGGACCATTGTTCATGCACTTCTGATACCAAATCTCTTCCTTCTGCCCCTTATCTAAGGATCTGTCTGTGCAAACAGATACTGTCCATGTTCATTGTGCTCTGGCTTTTTATAACTTCAATGAAGACATTCTGTTTTGAGTGACCAAACCAGCCACCTGAAATGCTGTATCTTTGATTTTTACCTTTTAGATATATAGCCATATATCTTTACAAATAAGTCCAATTTATAGCTTTAGCTGACATAGACAAGCAACAGAATCAGAAAATTCTTTGCAGCAAGGATCTTCTTGTCCTTGCTAAAAAAAAGGGAGAAGAAATTACAGAAAACTTCTTGCTTTGGGACATTATTTTTGGATAAATGTTTGTAAGGTGATGTATTCTTCCAAGGTGTCTGTAAGGAAAATATAAGGAATGTTCTTAAAAATATGATATAATTATTTCCTTTAATGGTATGAAGTAATTATTTGAGCTAGCAGACACAGAATTGTTTCTGGATTTGGGTTTTTTATTTGTTTGCTGTTGCATTGCTAAGATGATTATATTTATTGTACTAATGGGCACAGGTCAGAGGGATAAAGGGGTAAATTGCACATTACAAAGATTACCTGGAGACTGAATCTATTTTTCAGCAGAATTCTTGCCTTCCTATCTCCATGTGAGTGAGTGAAAAGCCTTTTAACTGCCAGGTGGCCTTTCTACATGGAACCAAGCCACACTCTAACCTGTCTTCTGTCCCATCCCTCTGACTGTTAGAGAGACTTGTGGCCTCCCAGTGTACTAGCTCTTTGATTTGCCTGGAACTATTTTTCCTGTCTTTTTTCCACTTAGTCTTTAGAACAGTGAAGTAATTCCTGAAATTGTTAGAATATAGGCTAAATACTCAAAAATAATCACAGTTGCTGATTGCTGAAACATTGAAGGGAAAATGCTAGTTTGATTTTGCTGCTAACCTTGACAGAATTATTCCTGGACACGTTTTGTGGGGGTAGTATTTGTAAGTGTAGTCCTGCAAAGCACTGAATATGCTCCAGTTTTATGTGTAGTGGCTGATATCACATAGAACTTGGAGCCTTTTCTTTGCACTGTGTATATTGGTGTTATTGCAGGAAAAGCAAGCCTGATACCTCTGTTAAATCTTTCCAAGCCTTTGTGTGTACCCTTTGAAAACAGTATTTCTGAAACCCAACAGTCAAAACATACCATGCTGCACAACAATACACAAAAAAATAAGTTGAAGGCTTAAGAAACTCTACCTTGCTGACAGAAGCCTTATCTTTTGACTGCAGCATTTACGCTGCAGAACATTTGGGAAAGAAGATGAAGAGCAAAATAATGTTGTGACCATGCATATGTTATCTAGCTTGCTGGTACATGGTATTCCCTGAAGGGTTATTCCATGTGTCAAGAGAATTCCCATTACAGTAAAATATTATTCTACTCATCTGAGCCCAAGTTCCCAATTTATCATTCTGCCTTCATTACTGCCAATGTATTTCTCTACTTGTTTGGAATCAGAATTAAGATGTACAGTAACTCATGGTAGAAGTGCAATTTAAGATGTATTTAAAATAAAATGTTTGTGGTTCATCTTATGCTCTTATTTTTCTCTTGATTGCTTAGGGTTTGAATGCAGTGTTTGATGCACTAGTGATTAACAAGATAAATCTTTTGGAGCTTATTCAAAAGTTACTACATAAGGACAAGTCGTTGGAGGTGAGTCCTTAGAGGTTTTGTTCATTCTGACCATTCAGACAGTCATGTCCTAAAAGACAAAGAGCCAGCTTCTCACAGTTTGTTGTTGAGATTTTAAAAAAAAAAAAGTGAACACCAAAAAAGGTATTGTCAGTCAGTTTTGTAAGGCAATGTGCTATGACATCTTTGCAGCAATGTGAGTAGTAATGGGGTATTGTTAGAATTGCATTGGATAGTGAAATCCGTTCCACAATTTTCTCAACAGTATGTTAAAAATGTGGTATGAAAGAGGTGACTGCTTGATGCAACAAGTTTTCCAGGGTCAGTAGCAACACACCTCAAATGGTACTTTAACATTGATCAGAGTAAAGAGAGGGAGAGATGTATTCAGATTCTCAATGAGATTTAACTATCTCTATGAGATAGCTGAACATTTGAAAAAATAGAGTAAAAAATATTATGTTTCACTTTGCTAATTTCACTAAAGCGTTACACTGGGTTTCTTTCAGAATAAAAATTACCAAACTGGAAGTGGTTCATAGTAGCTTTGGAGTTGAAAAATAAAAAAATATGTAAGGACCGATAGTTGCTAAGGATTGATTTTCTGACCTTTGTTGATACTGCTTTATCTAGTATTGTCTCAAGTGGAATCTGGCACCTAGTATTTGCATTGACAAGTAAATAACAGAAACAATCAGCCTCAGATGAATGATTGATAACAGCCAAATAGACCAACAGCTTACTAAAATATCACTACTGTTGAACAGCTAAGTCATTTGCCTTTCCTCTCCAAGATTCAACAAGGCAAAGGAATATGCTTTAATATCCTTCACTTCAATCAGTGGTTTCACTGCAGAGGAGTCTCACTCTTGATTCTAAGTGGCACAATGGCTATGGCACTTTTAAATTCCTTTGCAAGGAGTAAAATGAGGAGTTTCAGGGGGAAATCAGGGAAAGTAGAATCTCTAAAACTGAAAAAGTAGACTTGACCAAGAAGGGCTAAGTGAGGGGTACAGGAGTATTTCAGGCAGCAAATAGGAATGCTGGAGAGTTTTGCTGTATAATGAGATTCAGCCTCTCATCAGTGCCAGTTAAGATCATGGAATAGATCCTCCTGGAAGTTAAGTCAAAACATATAAACGACCGGGAGGTGATTAGAGAGAGCCAACACAGCTTCGCCAAGGACAGATTGTGCTTGATTAATCTGGTGGTCTTCTGCAATGGAGTGACTTCATCAGTGTACAAGAGAAGAGCTGCTGATGTCATCTACCTGGATTTCTGCAAGGCCTTGGATATGGTCCCTCATAACATTTTTGTTGACAAAATGGAGAGATATGGGTTTGACTGATGCACTGTCAGATGGATAAAGAATAGGCTGCATGGCCACATCCAAAGAATTACAGTCAATGTCTAGTGGAAACCATAATGCATGGTGTCCTCAAGGGTCCATATGGAGACCAATTTTATTTAATATCTTCATCAGTGACATAGATAGTGGAACTGAATGCACTCTCAGCACATTTACAGATTACACCAAGCTCAGTGCTGCAGTTGAGGGAAGTGATGCCATCCAGAGGGACCTTGGTAAGCATGAAGAGGGGTGGGCTTATGTGAACCTCATGAAGTTCAAGAAGGCCAAGTGCAAAGTCCTGCACCTGAGTTGGGGCAGTCCCTAGGTAGGATGTTGGAAGCTTGGATTTGCATCTTACAGCTGTGATGGGATATCATTATACTTACTTATGATTCTCTTTCCAGTCTCTACTGGTGAAGCTTGAAGAACCTGTACAGTATACAGTGGTTTTCATTCCATTTACAAAAATTTTGTGTGTTATACTTCACGGAGGAAAAAATGTAAAAGTCTGTCAAATTTCACTTCTATGCAATCACTTCTCTATGTTTAGCGTGAATTGCCTTCTTTAGATCCTAAAGCGTGTATTACAAAATGTGATCTAAATCAACTGAGTTAATGTAATGTAGATCAAATACAATTTTCTTGTTTGATTTTGGGTAATTTTACCTTGAACTAAATGATTTGAGCACCCGTCTGGCATTAGCTTTTAATTGGTTTTGGTTGTGAAAATTTTAATTCAGTTTCTAATTCCTCCCAGTTTTTAACTATGCAGTTTTCTTGGTGTGTGCATTTTGCCTCTGAAGAAACCTAAGTGGAGAAAAACTTTCTGTGACAAGCAGTCAACTGGATATAGCTATTTAAAACAAAGTTCACAAAGTAACCACTCTCCATTTGAGAAAGAAAAGATAGATGAATTTAATAGGCTGTATAGTAAAGGCTGTATTCTGCACAAATTCCCTCTCAGAAATTGCCACATAAAATTACATTAGCTATAGACTTACTGAGGATTTGTAGAGGAGAGACTTCTTGAACAGAGAGGTTTTTTTCTTGATTGGGAAGGAAATTAAAATGTTTGCAAAAAATATTTTGCAATAAAAATGTCAACTGTAATAGCAAAAATGCACAGGGATGGCATCTTCTTTCTGAGACAGAGTTAAAAAGGATGTGAATGTAGTGGGTAAGAGAACAAATAATGTTTCTATATGAGGTGGTTTTTTTCTTTCTTTCATATAGAATGCTGGGCAGTTAAGGAGGGGGCTGCTTTTCAGGATAACTCTCCTGATGTCTGGAGGGGCCAGTATACTTTATATACGCTGGAGGATTATGGGCACAGGGCCACCGGCTTTCACTGAAGTAGACAACCCAGCTTCATTTGCAGACAGTCTGTTTGTGAGAGTAAGTTATGAAGTTGCTTTTTTTCTGGCCAGCTCAGAACATTTGTCTTTGTCATCAAATTGAGTTTTCTGTTCTTCAAAAAAACAATAAAGTAGGCAATCTTTAAGTTTCAAGATGTGTGATAAGTCACCTTCACTTGTGCTCCTGTGATGATTTCCTGCAATTTTTTTAATATACTTTTCTGCAATTTTTTAGTATACCTTTCATATTCTTTGCATTCAATGTAGCATGCACTGTACACATTGATATGCTTTTCCATTTACTCACTACTTTTGCTATGCATGCAAGAAGTTAGGTTTTGCTGATTTTCATCCCTTTTCCACGTATTGTGCTTAAGTTTTCATCCATTCTTTCGCAATTGAAGAAAATAGCATTAAGTTCTAGTCTGATGTATTTAGAGTATGTCTTGGCTATATACCTGTGATGGCATTAAGGCTCTTTCTGAAGATGGAGAATGAAGGGTGAAGACAGTGGGTGATGTCTTTTTTGACGTTTTCTCCTGTAGGCGATTCCACGTGGGTATTGGCTGGGCAGCACAGAATTGCATTTCCCTGGTCTGAACAAGAGAGCCACCTAGCTATGTTTAAAAAAAAATAATTTCACAGCTGTAAAGGAAATCTATATGTAAATAGTTGTAGTGTAACAGTATTTATGGCCTCTTTATTGTATAAGATATGTTTTCTGAAAAGGGAAATGAGAGAATAGAGAAGGACTAAAGTTGCCCTTCCCCCCCAAGTTTAGTACCAAGTAAATGTTTGTTTTCTTTTTGACTGACAGGCTATAAACTATAATTACTACTATTCGCTGAATGCATGGTTGCTGTTGTGTCCCTGGTGGCTATGTTTTGATTGGTCAATGGGCTGCATACCCCTCATTAAATCCGTCAGCGACTGGAGGATAATTGCACTAGCAGCACTTTGGTTCTGCCTAATTGGTCTGATATGCCAAGCTCTGTGCTCAGAAGACAGCCATAAGAGAAGGTAAGAGACAGTGATGAATTTTAAATGCCTGGCCAACTTGAGTACAGTATTATTTTGTTAAATCCACTAGTGATAATTTTAACAATTCAGTGGAACCAGTGTCTAGCAAATGCAGTTCAAATAAATATTTATAGCTGTCATTACAGTTTTATCCCAATTTGGGCCCATCACTGTATACCGACTAGTGGGAAACAGAGTTGGAGGAGGAGGCATGGATGGCTGCTCTATTTTTTCTCCATAAATGGTATTTTGAGATCCTTAACACTGTAGGTGGTAAAAAGTAATATGTGCTCAAAACACAGTAGGAAATTATGTATGTCATTGCCCTTACAAGTCATCATTTCCTTTAATCTTCTCCTAATAATGAGAGAGGAGATGCACCTTTCAGTTCTTCAAAGTTTTCAACTTCTCAGTCATAGAATGGTTTGAGTTGCAAGGGACCTTAAAGATTAGATAGCCATGGGCAGGGACACTTTCCATGAGGTCAGGCTTCTCAAAGCCCCATCCATCCTGGCATTGAACGCTTTCAGGGATGGGGCATCCACAACCTCTCTGGGCAACCTGTTCTGGTGCCCCATCGCCCTCACAGTGAAGAACTTCCTTAGATCTAATCTAAACCTACTCTCTTCCAGCTTAAAGCCATCAGCCCTTGTCCTAACACTACATGTCCTTTTGAAAAGTCCCTCTCCAGCTCTCTTTTAGCCCCTGTTAGATACTGAAAGGCTGCTAGAAGGTCTCCCTGGAACCTTCTCTTCTCCAGGATAAACAACTCCAACTCTCTCAGCTTGTCCTCATAGGAGAGGTGCTCTAGCCTCTGATCATCTCCATGGCTCTCTTCTGTATTCACTCTTAACAGGTCCACGTCCTCCTTATCTGGGGGACCCCAGAGCTGGATGCAGCACTCCATGTGGGGTCTCACAAGAGCGAGTAGAGGGGCAGAATCACCTCTCTGAACCAGCTGGTCCCGCTGCTTTTGATACAGACCAGAATATGATTGGCTTGTAGGCTGCAAGTACACATTGCTGGGTTGTCTTCAGCCTCTCATCAACCAACACCCCAAAGTTGTTCTTCTCAGGACTACTCTCAATCCATTTTCTCTCCAGCCTGTCTTTGTGCTTGGGATTGCCCTGATCAAGGTGCAGGACCTTGCACTTGGACTTCATGAACTTCATGAGGTTTGGACTAGCCTACTTGTCAAGGTCCCTCTGGATAGCATCCGTTCCCTCCAGTGTGTCCTGCACACACAGCTTGGTGTCACCTGCAAACTTGCTGAAGGGTGCACTTGATCCCGCTGTCCATGTCACCAACAAAGATGTTAAACAGCATTGATAAAAATACCAACCCCTGAGGAACTCTACTTGTCCCTGGCTTCACTTGGATATTGAGCCATTGACTGCAACTCTTTGAGTCCGACCATCCATCCAATTCCTTGTTCACCAAGTGGTCCATACATCAAATCCGTGTCTCTCCAATTTAGAGACAAGGATGCTCTGGATCCCTTTCCCCACCCATGGCGTGGGGCGGCCCAGTTCTAGTTCCATTTCCATCTGAAGAACCATTCCAACGCCTTGAAGGAAGGGGAAAGGGAACTCCAGGGGTTTCTTCAGGGGTCTCTTCTGACCCTGAGCCTGGAGGGGAGAGGTGCTCCCCCCTCCCCCCCCGCACGTGGCCCCATGGCCGGCAGGGAGACAGGACACCGGGCGTGGAGAGGAGGCAAGAGAGCGTTTATTGTTGGGGATGCTACATTTGTAGGGTTTAGGAGGATTGACAGAGTAACCAATTAGAAGTCTCAAGGGGCTTACAGGAATACCCAATCACAGGAAGGGGTTAACAAAGGCCAATGGGAAACACCTCAGGACACCTTCCCAGGACATTCCTGAGATAACATTACCCTGGGGGGTGTTGGGAAGAAGGGGCAATGACTCTGCAAAAAGGTAAAGGCCATTTTAAAACCTGTTTAAACCACAGTTTTCCCATATAATTCAGGTTTAGTGCTACAGGATGCCATGCGGAACAGTGTCAAATGCTGTGCAAGAGTCCAGGTAGATGACACCAGTTGCTCTTCCCTTATCCACCAATGCTGTAACCCCATTGTAGAAGGCCACAAAATTTGTCAGGCACAATTTGTCCTTAGTGAAACCAGACTGGCTTTCACCTATCACCTCCTTATTTTCCATGTGCCTTAGCATAGTTTCCAGGAGGATCTGCTCCATGATCTTGCCAGGCACAGAGGTGATCTATTGACCTGTAGTTTCCTGTCTCTACCTTTTTCCTTTTTTAAAAAAATGAGGATTACATTTCCCCTTTTCTAGTCAGTGGGAACTTCACCAGACCATCATGACTCCTCAAATGTGATGGGGCTAGGGGCTTAGCACCACCTTAGCAGCTTCATCCAACAGTTCCCTCAGGATCTGCAGATGCATCTTATCCCATGGACTTGTGCACCTTCAGGTTCCTTGGATGTTCTCAAACCTGATCTTTTCCTACAGCAGGCAGTTCTTCATTCTCCCAGTCCCTGCCTTTACCTTCTGTAACTTGAGTAGTGTCACCGGAGCACTTGCTGGTGATGACCAAGGCAGAAAAGTTGTTGTACCTCAGCCTCCTCCGTGTCCTGGGTAACCAGGTTTTCCATTTTCTTCCAGAGAGGACCCACATTTTCCACAGTCTTCCTTTTATCACCAACATAAGTCATTCTATTGTTCAGAATGCATATTTTTTTTCTTTTTCTTTTCTGTGGTATTCTGTAATTTCATCTATTCCCTCTCATCCCCTCAAATGTTAACAGCCCACCTGCCTGCCTTTCTGCCATTCCCATAGTTATTTGCACAAATGAATCATTTTGGAGAGGGTTGGAATTCTTGCTGAAAGTGGTGTCATAGTTGCTAGTAAAAACGTACTCATAAAGCCTATATTGCTAAACAGTTTGTCGGAAAAAGTAAAGACAAAAAGTATAGTGAAGGCCTAGGATGCTTGAGGATGAGAAAGGAGCAAGAGGGCACATCTACATTACAGTGCAGAGATTTGCTTGTAATAAATTAGAATAGAAAATTATCATGCCTGTGGCCTTTGTAAGAAATACCTGACCCGGACCTGAAGTTCTTATTCCCTTATGTCAGGTCTGTAAAAGTGAGGTACTTAGTCTCATTTGTCAGAGCTCTCTATAGTCCATAAAGAGTTACCTGCTGTGCTAACTTCGTTACCTAAAACAAGGAAGACAAACTGCCCTCAAAAAGTGTGTGTCTCTGCTGACTGTAGAAAGACCATAGATTGCTAACTTTCCAGTGGTTAACCACAATGGTTTCTACTATTGATGTGTTTGTTAGGAAAGAAAATGCTCTCTCAATTGGATGCGCACCTAGGTTTCTTTTTAAATAGTGATGTATGTTTTTTTCCATACTGTCTTACTAGTTCCAAAAATAGACAGGTAGCTTTTACCATTACTTTTTCTGCTTGTGTATTTTAAATAGGAGTTATGTAAATAATGTGTAATGGGGCTATTTTCTGGCCCGGAAGCATGAATATTGCTTTTCTAGAAATTACAGCAACAATTTTAAAAGTGCCTGAAGGAATGAAATGTCAAAACCTCACTGAAATTTAATCTGATCTTGTTAGTAGCTATCGAAGTCTGTGCTTGAATGCCCTGTTCCATGTGAACATCCTTCTACTGTGTTTAAATAAAGTTTATTTGTTAAGTAGAAAAGGTATCTTTCGTTAAAAAAAAAGGAAATCTTTTGTTAAGATTTGTTGTTAATTTGGGAATCTGTTTCTTGTTTGCAGAATCCTTACACTGGGACTTGGATTTCTTATTATCCCTTTTCTTCCTGCAAGTAATCTGTTCTTCCGAGTGGGATTTGTTATTGCAGAGAGAGTCATCTACCTCCCCAGTATTGGATATTGTATTCTCTTTACATATGGATTTAGTCTCTTGAGTAAGCAAGCCAAGAAAAAGGTACCATCAAAACAATCAGTAAAGTTGATGATGAAGTGCTTCAGTTGGAAGATTTGTTTTTTAACTTTCCTCTCTTTCCTTAAGAAAATTCTTGCTGTGGCAGTATTTGGAATCTTGTTGATAAATGTTATGCGCTGCGCATTCCGCAGCAGTCAGTGGAGATCAGAAGAACAGCTTTTTAGGAGTGCACTGTCTGTGTGCCCTCTGAATGCAAAAGTAAGTCACTCGTGGACTTCTAATATTTTTTTTTCTTTTTTTTTTTAAGTGTTTTGAAATTTGGGGTCAAGGAGGTGTTATGCATAGTTAATATATAGTGCTACAGTGTTATTCACAGTCTTGCTTAGTGCAAGAGTGATATTGACATGTCAGACACCTAAATTACAGTGGTAGCATACTCAAAAAACCAGACAGTGCAAATTACAATATTGTAATTCAGAACCTGGGGGTGGGAGTGGGGAGGTGAGGGAGGAGGGAGAATGCACTTCAGGAAAGGCATCCAGTTAAATTGGATCTACTGCTAATAAAATCTACTTAAAAGAATTTTGCATATAATTGCAAGTTATTGCAACAAAAACGTCAAAAAGAAGCTAAGTAAGTTGTAGCAATGTATTCAACTGAATGATGCCTATGCTGTTTTTAGAATCTTTTTTGTGTACCTTCCAGTGGTATATAAAGCCAGCACAGCTATGGGACAAAGCACCATCTCACCAGTGTAATCACAGGATGTGGGGATAAAATCTTTGCTCCCACTTCTGCTCTTTTAAAGTGGCTGAATGGGCTAGAGTCTTCAGACATGGGCACTGAGGAGAACTGCAATTTTCCATGCAAGGCTTAGGGAGGGAACAAGTAAGATAGTGGGACTGGACAGTATGTTTCACTCAGCTGAACAGCAGTATTCGGCACTGGAGACTGAATCCAGCCTGCCAATAGAGGTGACCCCCACAGCAGTCCTTTGGCAGCCAAGAGTGTGATCTGCTGGAGCATACCACAGCCCTGATGCTGTCTGAATTTTAGCAGATGCTCTCTATGAAGAGCTTGGGAATGGGAATGTGCAGCTTGTCAATAAAAATACATTGATGTTAAAAGATTAGATTTCTGTAATCTAAACTGGTATCTAGACAATACAGATCAAGACACAGACTTTAAAAAGGAACCTGTGAATGCTCAACTTTGCAAACAGAATGATAAATGTAGCATTTCCTGGAATACAAATATGCAACGGTGAGCTGTAAAAAACATTTATGGCCAATATTTACAACATGGTGGTGTCTTTCAGTAATCTCAGATTTTAATACATAGGAAAAGAGCTATTGTATTTTATTGTGTGACAGTGGTAGGCAACCATCTTCTTTTTAATGATGACCTCAGTATATCTTTTCTTCTGGATGACAAGCACATACTATAAATGGAGCAAATGCAATCTGTTTTCTTTGTGTGTAACTCCATCCATCTGCCATGGTAAGAGTGCTTTAGACAGATCTGCACTCTTTGCCTGTGCTCCAAGCTCCTTGGACTCAAGCCATGTCTGGCTGGGAAGCTGTGTAGCTGTGCTCCCACAGTACTGTGCTTGAGTCGATAAGCTGTGTGCAAGCTACTGAACTAATGCAGCCGGTTTAAAGCCAGTGAATGTACACGGAAAATGAGCTTGTGTTTGTCAACATTGGGCTCTGTAGACATGCCTGAGCTGTATTTCTGCTGGTGACAGCTCGTGCAAATGGTAAACGTGGTGATGTGCTTGTAGGCTCACATTCCAATTTTGCTGAAGGAGTAACTTTGAAATCACAGTACTAGGGAACTTTCCGAGGCAAGAATATTAGAGAGTACATGTGTGAAAGCCAATCTCTTGTTTTCTTTATGGACTCAGCTGTATTTATTCAATTTTGACAAAGGTAAATGTAAAAATTGGAACTAGGTTCTCTTCTCATCTTCTGTTGTTGTCTTTGAAATTGCAGGCTTCCTTTAAAAATTACTCCACAGGACTTTCTTTCAGTGACCCATTTATTTCAGTGGGAGGCTGGTGAAGACCAAAGAATGGAACATATATAATAGCTTTTTCTTGTTGTTCTTGGAACATATTTAGTATGTGTAATGTGGTCATGCTTTACTTCTATTATGTAGCAGGGTTTCAAAATCTCAACTTCTAACTGGCAACAAAAGCTGTTCGTGTTTTGTGGTACAGCTCTTTTCAATTCCAAATTGTCTGTGTGAGAAGCATAGAGCAAACTTACCCTAATTCTAAATAACAAGTAATAACAGCACTGCCTTCTCTAATTTCAAGACTCATCTTCATTAAACATATCTTTAGATAGACATGAGGAAACTGCATTAAATGAGATTGTCTGGCATAGTAGTGAGTGAATCTGCTACCTTGAGTGATGATGCACTTGGCTCAAGAGATGAAATTTAGGATCAACTTTAATAAATGTTGCCCAGTGATTTAAAAAATTATAGGAAATAATCAGTTACTATAATGAAATCACAAAGATTTTGACACAATACAGTTTTTTTAATGTTTTGAATATTTTAAAATTTTTTTTAAATGTTACTTAAGATATTTAAATATAGATATAATGTATAGATTGGTTGCTTGCTTGTGGTTTTTTAAGAGAGAGAAAGAAGTATGTTACCGATCTTGGCTAAACATGTCCAGGAGCACATCACACATTTGAACTTGCATAGCCCTGCACTTAGGTTGGTTTCAAAGGTCATTTAACTGAAACAGTATACTTTTTGAATATATTTGGTACTGTTTTCCTTAGCTGAACAGAAGGTGCCTGTATATTGATTCCACTTCCTCCTTTCATGTTTTTTCATACTGTATAGATTGATTTAATTCCTGGAGCTCAGTGATGATGCACACTGGTGTGAGTTAGAACCAGGTCTGTATTGTTTTTGCTAAAGCAAATTTTGTGAACAGTTAGAGAGGCTGTTTTCTCCTGATATTTGATTATATGTTACAGGCAGTTTATAAATATAGAGTATTTCAGCACTACTGACATAAAAGGCTCACTGGATCCAATTTGGCATCTTTTCATTTGATGTCGTTATGTTGTGAGTTCATCCTGGAGTGCTTTGTTGAAGCACTGAAATATCTAGTTACAAACTGTGATAAAAGCATAAGTACTGTTTCACCATATCAGACTACTGGCTTGGATTTTATCTCCTTAGCTTTAGACTTCTACATCCGAGTGAGTCAGTCAGGCTCGCTTTATAACTGGGGAGAAGAAACTGTTCCTTTTAGCATGTGGTTCATTACCTTGGACTAAATGACTGACATAAGCCAGGACTGCATCCTAGATCTGTGTGTTTCTTTCCACTCAGGATAAAGGAAGTCCTGATAACTAGAGCATATAGCCACCATTTTTCTTTTCCTAGATTTGAGATAACTGAATGTAAATGAATGTAAATTGTTGTTATTTTGTATGTAACCTCTACATTCTCCTTGCTACTGGCTTTTCTTTAAAGGATAGAAAATAATAAACATAATTTTTGGAAAGCCATTTCAGTAGCAACTTTTCAGCAATAATAAGCAAGAAAATTACAATACTCCCAACAGAAGGTTACTAACCGTCTGCCTTGAAATACTAGGGTAAGTAACTTTGCACTTGATGCTTTATGCAAATGGCAATTACTAGAGATACAAGTTTATACAAGAGACTGGCTATACTAATACCAAAATAGTGCAGTAAGCATTTGTGAGATTGCTTTCTATACTTTCTTAAAACGTCTTGTAAAACCTCTTTGTTACAGAACAAGATTTAGTGCTGTCTAAGGATCTGATCTTTGTTCCTTAAGGAAGCTGCTCTAGAGGGCATTTCCTTTAGATAGAGATTTTTTTTTCAAATCTATATATCAAAACATTCCTCTTTTGAGGAATTTAACTTAAGTGCTCTGGGCTGTGTTTATAGGGGCTATTTGCATGTTTTGCCACCATTTTAGATATCAATTTTTGTGTATACAAGCACAGTCATGCAGAAGAACCTTTAGACAACATTAGCTGCACAAACAAGATGTCAATATCAAAAAGCTTTATTATTATTTGGAAAATACAATTTCAGTAGTAGAAGAAAGAGAAGAGTGATGGCAGAAGCTGGCATTGAGCAGAAGCATTTGCATGTTTCTGGAGAAATTTTGACATCTGTGCTTTGTTTCCATCCTCAGCAAATGTTCATATTTGCTGAAAAGGTGATTACAAGCACCTAGGTTGAGAGAATAAAACTGGTGATAATAGCAGTGCTCCAGCTGAGGGGATGTACCTCCCAGAAGATGATTTTACATTTTGATTTCCTCCTAAGCTGCTTTGAGTAAAAACAAAACCAAAAAATCAGTTTGACAGTAATTTTATTTTTGTACAGGAAAATATATTTTTTCTCTCTCCTTCTCGTTTAAATGTGTGTACACATTTAAGCATTTACATAAGTGTTCAAGTACTATGTTTATCTAACATAGAATAATATACAGTGATTTTTCTTTTTTGTACTGGCTTCTTAGGCTGATTGAGGTATTGCAAACAGACAAATACATAGAGCCAATTCTTTGGCTGGGCTTTGGTGCTGTGGTTATGTTAACTTAAACAACACCTGTCTGTTGAGATCAAGTAGGTTCTACCCTAGGGTATTTTTACCTGATTGGCCTGATTTCAGAGAATACTGTTGTTATGCATCCCTGAGAAATACTCCTTTTAGAGCTATTACTGTAAAGTAATTGCCTGGTTAAGATTGATAAAGAAGCATCTGGGTATAATGTAATACGTCATTTCCAGTTAATATTTAATCATTTAATAATGAATTGCTATGCCTGCTCTTAAATGTTTAACCAGGAAAGGAAAATCCTCTCTTCCAGGCTAGCATGCACAATATCTGTCAAAGGCAGAAGAACCACACCTCTAGAGATGAAATTTAAAAAAACTCACTGGCCCCTCATTTTTGAAGACCAAATTCTTCCCACCCCAATTGCTTCCCACAAAGCACTGGTGTCCCCTTGTTGTGCAGGGAGAGGTCATAGGAGAAGTCAAGGAGAGTTACAGTCTTGTGCTTAGCAGACGGGAGGTAGTTATTGCAGGCCTGGTTTGGGGGAGCTAAAGGCTGATCCCGGCATCTCTCTGTCATGGCCAGGGAAGGGAGAGACACAGCTGTATGGCAGAAGTCACATGCACCTCTCAAATGACCGTGTGTGCCTGGAAACCCTTTGCTGGCTCTGTTCATAAGAGCAGCATGTTACTGCATATTTATAATCCATTGTAGAACTGGTTTTGTTATTGGATATTTATGGTAGGCTGGGGAGCTTTTTCTGTGTTTGGTTTAGTTTTTCTTCCCTTCTTTAAGAGGAACTGAAGCTACCATTTCTCTTGAAGGGAAATTAGAAAACTTATATACAAGGAGCTCTTCATTTTCAAGGGTATTGTATAGAAACATCATTTCTTTTCACACAGAAGCTGAGGACAAAAGAAATACACCATTGTAAATGCTAGTAGTTTATTTAAATAGTTGTGGTATCAGTTTTAATAGTCTTTTTAGTTCAGTTCACAAACATACATATGCGCTTAATATTTCATTTGATGTTTTGACTGAAGAGAATTGATATCTCTCATGTTTCTGCAGACTGCACAATTCTTTTTACATGAGAAAAATATTCTTGCTGCGACTACTTTTGAGATAAAAATGGGTATTAAGACATGTCGTGTTTAAAAAAAAAATGAGAAAAACAGAATCAGAAAGTGAAATGCTGTTTCCTAACATGAGACAGCTTACATGTGAAAGACTCTCAGGGGTTGGTGTATACCGAGATTTTTCTCATCTACTCTGTCCCTGGTCTTCAGGCAAATTTCTTTCTTCGGTAATGCTTATGACTTTTGCAAAATGTGTTTTAAAAAATTAACTTTTATAAAGCTTCTTAAAGAAAGAAATTGAATCAAGTTAAATGTAATTTTGTTTGCTGATATTGAAGTGTAAAGTCAGGTAATTTATGGGCTAATATGCATTATTCAGTTAAATCCTTAATTATTTCTTCTGTTTTGCCACAATGTATCTTTTATCTGGATAAAGTTTGAATATGTAAGCTTCAGCATAGATAATCAGAGCAGTCCAGTTTACTAAGAATGTTACAGTGTTCTGAAAAATTTCTGGAAGAGATATACAAATAGAATTCAGTCCTAAGAAACATCTTTCAGGGTACTTTATTTTACTCTAATGACTTCTGGGAAAATGCTATTCCATCTTTTTGGTTTTTTTCACACCATCAGCTGATCTTTATGTTTGTTTATGTCTTGATATAAATGTACCATTCTGTTGCTTCTTTGCCACAGGCCTTATAATATTTTTATGAATGTACAATGAGAGTACCAGGATCTTTTTTTCTTGGAAGCTGTGCTAGAACTGCTTTTATGGGATGCTGAATTGCGTGCTATTTTATATCCTACAGTGTGAGGAGCTGCCTCTGTGTATGCTTAGTAAGCTTTATAACATCTTTGCTGTCCATAAAACCAGTGAAAATACTTTCTCGCCCATTCAAAAAAGCATGGAAAATGTTCTTAACTTTATTTGTTGATGGTGTGTTACTGCAGAGTCACAATCATATAGAGATGAAATTCAACAATTAAATAGCATACCAACTAGGTTCAAACATAATTGTGTGTGCTGGATCAGTAGGTCCCAGATACTGTGCCAACTGCTATTAGGATTTTTCAGTTGATGGACACATCAGATAAAATCCTTTCTTTGAGTGTAGAAGGTGAATTAGAACTATCTAAATGCATTACAAACCTATCTTTTTGGACTTCAATCTAAAGTTATTCCTGCATAGTATTTTTGAAAAGATTTAAATTAGACTTTTCAAAGTGTGGAAGAAATTGAAATGTGTGTTTGTTTTAAATGAAGTATATACAGTTTGGTTTCAAATAGTAAGGTAATCAATCTAAATGAGTCCTGATCTAGTTGCTGAGAAATCTCTTTTCAGGAATTAGTACTCACAGTACTTTTTAACGAGGTAATTAAGAAGATTTGTCTTGAGGTAGGATTTGAGATGTCTTCGAACTCAGATTTGTCCTGAAATTTATTTATTCCTATCTAGACCTTGCTGTAAGTTCAGATCTTCTTCCTTGCAGCCTGAAAGCTCTAGGTCAGTCCTTCAGTCTTTTAACAGACAAGGTCTTCAACATATTGCTATACATATAATTTCAGAAATGGTCTTTCATACATTTTTATCCTAAGACAATTATTGTGTCTGTTATTTTTTGTTTATTTCTGAAATATGTAACTTAGTTTTTCTGTGAATGTTGAGTTTCTTCTAGTTTATGCTATAATGAAAGCAAAGTGTAATCAACACTTACATTTCTGTTTCTTCTGCTATAATGGATCTAATTGGAGTCAGACCTTCTCTTACTTACCTGACAAATAAATGAAATTAAGAGCAGGAGGTCTCCATACAAAGTATCTTGTAGGAAGTGTGATGACCTCATTTATAAAACCAGGAAGTGAATCTTTCTTAAATGGCTGTAACAGGCAAGCTGATTTATTACTTTATTCCTCAGATTTTGTCTTACTGTCTTCCTTGTATGCATTGTCCAATCTTAAGTATCAACCTACACCAAAAGCCAGCATTGAATGACGCAAGTGCTGACTGTTTCTATTTGGAGAAGAAATTTTTAGCTACTTGGCTCCACAAAATATCTGACTGTATGGCATCTGGTAGAATGTCCATCTGTGTTTTCAGGTGCACTACAACGTTGGCAAAAACCTGGCTGACAAAGGAAATCAAAGTGCTGCAATCAAATACTACAGAGAAGCTGTAAGGTATCAGGAATTTTACTGCTTTAATGATCTGTCCTAAAACTACTTTCACGTTTAACATGAAGAAAATGCTTAGGTATTCATTTTCATGTTCTGCAGCATTGCAGAGCTAGCAATTTGCATATATTAATACATGTCCTATACATAATAATCATCTCTTAAATTTTAAATTTTAGGTTGAATCCGAAATATGTGCATGCCATGAACAACCTTGGAAATATTCTGAAAGAAAGAAATGAGCTCCACGAAGCAGAGGAGTTGCTGTCCTTAGCTGTACAAATACAGTATGTTTAAAACAATGCTAAGCAGTGTTTTGCACCGAGCTGAAATAATACAATAGGATCTTGTGTTTCAAATGCTTAATTGTCCTCTCTCTTGATGTGTTTTTCCAATTTGCTCAGACCTGATTTTGCTGCTGCATGGATGAATCTAGGAATAGTACAGAACAGTTTAAGAAGATTTGAAGAGGCAGAGCAAAGCTACTGGACAGCAATTAAACACAGGAAAAAATATCCAGACTGTTACTACAATTTAGGGCGGTTGGTAAGTGCTTTTGAATAAATGATAGCTATGACTGGAATCTGTGCATCTCTGTGTGTGTATGTATATATATATATGTATATATATATAGATATAATTCTGCTGTACTGTTAAAAGCTGTTATTCCAGTTTGCTTGTATCGTATTAGAGGACGATTTCACACTTTTGGTAGCTTTTCCTATTGCTTTCGTGGTATACTTCCTTCCATACAGCCTTTGGTAGTCCTACTTTTTCACATAAAGAGCTGTAAACAAAAATACAGATTTTGGTGCCTTTTTGGGGGGTTTTTTTGAATATATTTCCTAATATTAGACTGTTTCACGTTCATTAGTATATTGTTTGGTAGTAGAACTATGCTGAAAAATTGAAATCTGATTTTTGGAAATATTTATATTAAATATTTACTAATCCTCTTGTGTAGATTTCTAAATTTTATGCTGATTTTTCTCCCTATCCTATTGGTACATGCGTATTTAAAGACAAGCCTCGTTCCCAGAGATAAGCAGAGGAGAATTAGTATATATCACATTTATCTTTCATACTACCATAGTATTCTTTTTACTTTTCTATTTTTATCTATAAAAACAAGTCCTACTAGAATGGAATGAGACATTAACAGCTCTTTAGTTTTTTTAGTGCATGATAGGAAAGTAAAGCATATCATAGCAAAATTGCTGGGTTTTTGTTTCATTTTAGTATGCAGATTTGAATCGCCATATAGATGCATTGAATGCATGGAGGAATGCTACTGTCCTGAAACCAGAGCATAGTTTGGCTTGGAACAATATGATAATATTACTTGATAACACAGGTAAAAGCCTATTCTGATATTTTAATGAATAATTCAGTGTCTAGCAAAACTTAAAGCTTTATCTGTATATATCTTAAAGGAACTCTACCTCTTCTTTGGCTACCCAGACATTCTCTAATAATATAAGAATACCTTCTGGCTCAGTGGTTTTAAAGCATCACTTGAAGTCCAGCATATAAATTGAATTTCCGATCCTTACTTGAAATACCATCATTGTGCCAGCACGTTTATACTATAGACCAAATTTCAGAACTTTTTAATCTTTGTGCTTTGTTGTTCTTCTGAAGGTGTTATCTGTTGAAAATAAAATAAAGACTTTCTATTGTCTTAGTCTGATGAATTTTACATTTCTGCGTGTGTGATACCTGGCTTTCTTTAAAAACTCATGCAATCAGCTTTTTGTAAAATATGCATGCTTCAGCATGAAAAACAACTAATAAGGCTGTGTTAAAACATGCCTTCTCTTTTTCCCCTACCTGGTCTCCCAGGCAATCTAGCTCAAGCAGAAGCAGTTGGAAGAGAGGCCCTGGAATTAATACCTAATGATCATTCCCTTATGTTTTCATTGGCAAATGTACTGGGGAAATCACAAAAATATAAGGTAGGTAACTAGAGCTTTTTGACTGTAGGGTTTTGGATTGGTTTGGTTGGGGTTTTTCTTATTTAAACTCTGTCTAAGGTTTTTTTAGAAACCATTTGAGGAGACCATTGCTATTGCTTCAATAACCAGGTTGCAATGCCTATTTCTGTCACAGTATTGGTGTGTGATTCTGGCCTAAGCTTATTTGAGATGCCTGGGTTACAAATGTTGCTGCCCTACACTACGTCAGTGGTCAGTGGAGAGAAATAGGCTCTTAAGCACACTAGAGGGCACTTAGAGTCTTGTGTTGCTTCACTGCCGAGGGAGGGAGCCTGCTTTGAATTAGAGGCCTTATTTCAGGAATTAGATGGGATAGACTAGTCCTGGTCCTTTTGGTATGTAAAAGAAGCAAGATGTACCATTACCTGATATGAGTTCTAGCCTCTTTGCCTCAGACGCTATCTAAAATAGAGTTACACAAATCTGTTAATCCCGAATTGAGGATGGGATATCTGGGTAATCCCAGAATACTACAAGAGAAAGTCCATACACTGAACAATGTATTGAATTTTCTCTTGGATGGCGTGGACCAGCCTGTGAGTTGTACCTCAGCATTAGCTACTTATATTTGCAAGTAGGAAATGTAATGAAACTGATAAGAATTATTTATTTTCCAAAAGGAATTGTATGACCTGACAGAGAATAAATCATACACAGTTAATATATTTAGTTGTTTCAATTGACTCCGTAGTCAGTGTATGATATGATATGATATTATATATGTGATAGGGACAAATTAATAATAAAAATCTTGGTGTTCCTCAGAAAAACATCATTTACCGAACCTTGGCTTTTGGGGGGTTTGATGTCTTTTTGGTAGTGATAATGCTAGCAGCACTGAAGGAACATCCTCAGTTATATACAAAGTAAGAAGATTTTGTGATGTGAAACTTGACAGGGCAAGAGGAAATGGCCTCAAGGTGCACCAGGAGAAGTTTAGATTAGATATTAGGAAAACTTTTTTCACAAAAAGGGTTGTAAAACATTGGAACAGACTGCCCAGGGAAGTAGTGGAGTCACCACCTCTGGAGGTGTTCAAAAAACATGTGGATATGGCACTTGAGGACATGGTTTAATGGTGAACATTGTAATGGTGCTGGGTTGACAGTGGGACTTGATGATCTTAATGGTCTTTTCCAACTTTAACAATTCGATGATTCTCAAAACAGATACATTTTCCCACCAGTTACTGTGGACACTTAAATTGCAACAGTATTGTTCAGCTGTGGAATCTTGCCCTGTCCACATGTGAAGCCAGGGCCTGTGAAAAGCCAGCACTTACTTTTGTTTGCATTAGTGATGCTGTTAAACACCCTGTTTTTCTAGACTGGCTGGGTTTTTTTCCTGTACACTCAATTTCTTTCCTCTCTCCACCTGAGACTGTTATAAAATATATATTTTAGGTTAATTTAGCAAAGTTCCAGAAGGATGAAAATTACATCTAGAATATATAAGGGATGAGATTATGGAGGAGGTAATTGCTAGGATTATTTTGATGAGTCATGACTGTGAAAGAACAGAGGATTGTGTAGTCATTCATCAAGAAGAGTATGTGGCATGATAGAATAAAGAGCATTTATAATGAAATAAGGTGAAAGAGAAGTTGAAAACAAGCTAGAAAACTTCTCCAGGTGCAGGAGAGATAAGTCTGTTTTAGTAGATTTAAAAAATAAAAAAGGAGGTAGTGGGTTTGATTGCCAGCTCTGAAAGGTCATTATGCTGCAGGAGGATGTGTTGGAGACAAAGCAGAAATAATAGTAGGGGAAAATTAAGCTTGCAAGTTGGCATCCTGAATAAAGTAAAAGGAATAGCAGAGCCCAGGGAAGAAAGCAGGGAGCCAGTGAGTGTTTTAACAGTTCAATATGGAGTAGTACGTTTGTGTTAAAACAGGGAGAGCAAATTAAGGGAATTAGAAAGTGGACTCACAAAGGTTATGATCTCAGCAGCTGTATTTTTGCATTGCCTAGAAAGAGGAGATATAAGAGTTTTTATAAGTGGGAGAATGCTAAATGACAATAAAAAGCATAGAAAATTCAGATTTCTTGTCCACCCCCTCACCATGTAAAAACAGAGAAGTGGATGGCTCTTCAAAGATTTTTATTGAATGGGCTTGGAGGGGAGGGAGGGGGGGTGGACTGTCAAGGTGATGGAGGTAATTTTCAGAGTGCTGCTTTGCTGTGTCTGATGTGTTGTATAACCTCAGGCATTTCATTTATTAAGTTACTTGTTATGTGTCTGTATAAAGGTTGTTACATTGGCTTTGTTGCAGTAAAGGAAGATTTGTTCTGAGAATTTTTTTGTTATCTCTTATTTTAAAAGACATTGAGTCAAAAAGGTTTTATTATGTTGTGAAAGATTTCCTTCCAGTAAGCACACAACATTCTCCTTCAGTTTCTTTCCAGCAGAAGATAGTTTTCCTACATCACCAACCAAAAACCCAAACCTTTTTGATTTCTGTTTGTATCTACTGATGAATGGTTTATTGTTTCAGAAAGAAAAGCACATTAAGGATGAGCTGTTTCTATGGTTTTGTTTGGGTTTTTTAATTATCATCTGTTATACCAACTTAGAGTTCCCCTTTAAATGCTTGTTCTTATCTCACTGGATGAAGAACCAAGCTATATTTAGTTCTTTGAAAATCTCTATGCAGTATTTTTGTTATGTATACATCTATGCTTTTTCTGTAAAAAGTGCAAAAATTGAAAACATTCAGCATTTTGAAGTAAAGCCAGACTACAATTTTGTGGCCTTGGCAGCAGATGGAATATAGCGTGGTTACCCCAAGGCTTTGCTATATGCAGCCTGAAAGTTTCTTGGCAACACTTAAAGATTTGGCAAGATGCAGCAATTTGAAATATCACTGGTGTACTGAATGTATATTTACTCCATATATCTACAGTAATATGAATATGATGCACCTTAAATAGCCTTTAATCAACCAGTATGCTTCTACTACTGCTGAGCAAAGTAGTGGTGATAAAAATGTTTTCAGCATGTAGTTGGAGATGTATGGTAATGGCAGCCAGCTCTTGAATATCTATTTCATTAAATTTTCTGGAAGTGCATTGCACATGTTGTCCCATTGTGCTTCAGCAGTGAAAGGATGTGAGTCTGTACATTAGGTGCTTCTCTTTTGTGTAGGTGGCAACTTTAGGCATAGGACTGAATTAATTGGACAGCACATTTTTCACTTTGATTGCTGTTAACTTGGCCAGTGAAGAAAGCAGAGATTTACTTATTAGACCAAAATACTAAAATTTGCAGTGGGAAAAAATATAATTTCATGGGACTTACGATTACCTCATTTTTTCAGGTGCCAATCCACTGTTGATTTTTAGGATTGGAGAGCTGTATGAAAAGAGGAGGTTATCTTGCACAACTTGACTCTCAGTATGTTTCTCAAGTGACTGAGAAACATGGAAATCATGGGATAACTTTGCCTGGAAATGACATTTAGAGGTCATCCAGTCCAACCCCTGACCCAAACCAGGGCCAGTTCCAGTTGCATCTTGAATATCTTTGTGGATAGAGATTTTAGAACCTCTCTGGACAGCATCTTTCAGTGCTTGACCAACTTTATGGTAAAAAAAATAGTTTTTTTATCCTTTTATCTAATTGGAATTTCTCATATACCAGCTTGCATCCATTATGTCTCATCCCATCTCACAGACATGTGAGAAGAGTCTGTTTTCATCTTCTCTGTATTATCTGATCAAGTACTTGTAGGCAGCACTAAGGTCTCCCCTTTACCTTCTCTTCTGAAGGCTGAAGAGATTCAGTTCTTTCAGCTGTTCAATGAAAGTCTTGTGTTACAGACCCTAACCATCTTGGTGCTCTCTGCCGGACTCACTATAGTATGTCTATGTCTTTCTTGTAATGGAGAGCCCCAGCCTGAACACATACTCCAGATGCTGTCTCAGAAGTGGTAATAGAGGAGAAGGATTATTTCCCTGGACCAGCTGGCTGTACTTGATACAGCACAGGATGTGGTTGGTCATCTTTTGAGGATACACTGATGGCTTTTATTCTTTTTGCTGTCTACGAGGCCTACCAGATCCATTTCTATAGAGCTTTTTCCTAGACAGTTGTTTCTCAGGCTGTACTTTTGCATGGGATTATCCCATCCCCAATGTGGAACTTTGCATTTAATCTTGCTGAACTTTATGATATTTCAGCAGTCCAATCCTGTTCAACATCTTCATTAATAACTTGGATGATGGGGCTGAGGGCACCATCAGCACCTTCGCTGATGACACCAAACTGGGAGGAGTGGCTGATTTGGCAGGAAAACACCTGAGGATCCTGGTGGACACCAGTTTGCCCCAAAGACACACTGCTGGCTAACGTTCAAAGAAGGCTAATGATATCCTGGGTTGTCTTAGAAATGCTGTCTTTTGCCAACAGGCTGAGGGAGGTGATCCTTCCTCTCCACTGGTGAGGTTACACCTGAAGTCCTGTGTCCAGTTCCCAGAGAGTTAAGCAAAGGGCCACAAAGATGATGAAGACACTGGAACATCTTTCCTATGGGGGAAGGTTGAGCCTGGAGAAGAGAAGCCTCAGGGAGAGGATCTCAATGTGCATACCTGAAGGGTGGACAAAACTAGATGGAGCCAGGCTCTTTTCAGTGGTGCTCTGTGACAGGACAAAAAGCAATGGGCCCAAAGAAAACAAAGTATATTCCCTCTGAACATCAGGAAGTGCTTTTTTACTGTGACCAAACATAGGCACAGGTTACCCAGGGAGGCTGTGGAGTCTCCATCATTGGGGATGCTGCCTGGAGATGGTCCTCGGCAGCTGGTTCTGCTGGAGCAGAGAGGTTGCATCAGATGACCACCAAAGGTCCATTCCAGCCTCAGCCGTTCTGTGATTCCTGCCAGTCCGTTTCTCTGTCCTGCCCAGGTCCATCAAAATAGTAGCTCTCCCCTCCAGTGTATTTATCACTCCCTCCTCTTAGATGCTATTTATAAAGTTTTGAAAGTGCATTCAGTCCCATCATCCAAAACATTAATGAAGTCAGTAAATAGTATGAGTTTCAAAGAGACCAGTGCATACCAGCAACTGTCTGGGTATGACAATGCTGGAGCAATTGCTTATGCCATAGGAAAGCAATGCTAAAACTTGCACTATGGAATTATATACCCTCTAAATTTCCAGACATCTGGTTCCCTTGTTAACTCCTATTAAGTATTCCTTCTCCTGAAACAGAATCGATCACAGAATGGTTGGTTTTGAAAAGACCTCAGGAGATCATCTCATCCAACCCCCCTGCTAGAGCAGATTAACCTGGAGCACGTTGCACAGGATTGCATCCAGGCAGGTGTTGAATATCTCCAGGGAAGAAGACTCCACAGCCTCTCTGGCATCCTATTCCAGTGCTCAGTCATCCTCACAGAAGGAAGTTCTTCTTCATGTTCAGGTGGAACTTGCTGTACATCAGTTTCTGCCTGTTGCCTCTTGTCCTATTGCTTGGCACCACTGGGAAGAGCCTGGTTCTGTCCTCTTGGCACGCTCCCTTCAGATACTTATAGACATTGATGAGGTTCCCTCTCAGACATCTCTTTTCAGACCAAACAGGCCCAGCTCCCTCAGCCATTCCTCATAAGAGAGATGCTCTAGTCCCTTAATCATCTTTGTAGCCCTCCACTGGACTAGCGCTGAGAATGCTGTGGTTTGTAATTTCCTTGACCTGAGAAGATGAAGGCACTTTCTGCAGGAGTCTCTCTTGGCTTGAGAGTGGCAGCTCAGCTGTGCTCAGCAATGCTTTGAAAGGACCATGTTGTCTGTGTTTGAATTTGGACATATGGGAAAGCTCTTAAGTCACTCAGAGTTGAGTGACTCAATCTTGACATCAGAAATATATTTTTCCCTGAAGGGGAACTCTAGAGACTTACTTCATGCTTCTCATGAGAAGATGGTGGAACCAAAAATCTGGGTGACAGGTTTTCTTCTTCAGTAGAGCCTGTGTTATTTTAAGTAGTAAAAGCTTAGCACAAAGGAAAGAATTTTTCTCCAGGTTATTGTTCTCACATACCTCAGACTAACAAGTATGTGCATTCAGACAGAAGCCTATGGCATTGAGGTAATTTTATCTTCAGGTCATTTGCATTGAAACTGAATGAACAACTTCTCCCTAAAGCTCAGCACAGCATAGAAATCTTTGTAAAATTTGCTCCAAATATCTAAACTTGCATGTAAGTAAGTAAATATGCTCCATTTGGATTGGGGGAGTGTAACTTTTTAAACCTCTACAGGAAATATGCTCTGGGAAAAAAGTATCTATATTAGCAACCAGTTTGGGAAAATAAAATGGTTTTAATTAGAGAATTAGTTTAGTGGTAAATTATTTTCTGAATACTTTCTGAGGGAGCTCAGGTTTTCTAAGTACTCAGATATCAAGAGTCTTAAGAGTGCACACTGTAAGTGGGAATATGGAAAAGATAACTGATGAAGAAATGTGAAGCATATTTGAAGGATTTTTGAAGTAACAGGCACTCAGCTACTCGTCATTGGGAACCATGCTGAAATAGCTGCTTGAGAAGAATCTACTGGAATCTATTTTTAATACTAAAATTATTTTTAAAGGAAATGTGTCTAAAAGCAGTTTGCTCAGATCCCAAATTATACTATCCTTAACTTGATTGTATAAGAAGGGAAAACTTCAGGAGGTAATGTTTGAAAATATAGTAACTATAAAAAAAAGAATTTAAGTAAACAGTTTTGCAAACTTTACTAGTGCCTAATAATTTTCTGCTAAAATAATAGCAGCCTATGAAAGCATGGCACTTATTTGTAGCATTATTACTGTTTTCAGTAGGCTGTAGCCACCTGAGCTACAGGATCATGAAGGTTCAGAATATTTATATGATGGTATCATATCTGTATGATATAGTTTCAGAGGGTTTTTAATTACAATCAAGGGTAAATTTGGCATTATTTTATATACAATGAGAGTAGACTGTCTTGTTGACTATTATTTTAAATTATTCAGGAATCTGAAGCTTTGTTCCTCAAGGCAATTAAAGCCAATCCAAATGCTGCCAGTTATCACGGTAATTTGGGTAAGAGCCTTTCTAACTCTTATCAGCTGTATTGTTTATTTGCTTCATATTCATTGTGTTTAAAAAGAAAAAGCAATCTTTCGAGCCTTCTTCCTGCTGGGCAGATTTCTATTTTACTTTCTAGAAGAACTGCCAGCCAGAAGAACAGGGCTCTAATCCAGAAAAGCTGTCACATGATATGACAAATCAAGAGGGCTGCACAGTCCAGCCCAGAGGTAGCTGCACTTCAGTATCTGCAAATTGGTTCATTTATGCTATGCTTGTAACCTGCAATGAGCTCACCAGATAAGAGCTGCCATTTACGGCTGCATTGTAATTCATTCCTTCATCATTCCCATGCCAGTTCTGCTCCCAGGCTTTGGTCTTACATTTGGCAACAGAACAAGCAGCTACTGTGCCACCAGCCAGTGACAGACCCTTAACTGGAAATAAATACTTCAATGGTGTTTTCCAAGTGGTTTGCAAGATTCCACATTATTCAACAATATTGCTAATGAAATTCCCCATTGATGTTCCAGCCGTGCTTTATCATCGCTGGGGAAATCTTGACTTAGCAAAGAAGCACTATGAAGTCTCTCTGAAGCTTGATCCTACGGCACCTGGAACCAAGGAAAACTACAACCTCTTAAGAAGAAAACTGGAGCAGTTGCAAAAGAAAGGCGGTGCCTGATGTTCCTTTCCAGGTTGTCCGTGCATGCTGTTTACGACTAATGTTACATGGCTGCTTTTGACCATGTACAGGATTCAGTCATTATTTCTCAAAAATGATAACACCACCAGCACCACACACTTGAATGTCCAGTTTTGCCCTCCTACAGATCCTAACATTTCAGCTTGGGGGATCATTTTATTTTTACTCTTGAACTGCTTTTAAAGTCCATTAGAACATTTTTATAGGTATATGAAAGCAATGCAGATGGAATTTCACAGCATACATTTGTCACATGAAGATATCAAATGACATTTCAGTAGAAGGATGAATAGCAGAAGGTGGTTTTATTTCTGAAAGTGATACTTAAAAGTGCAATTTCCTGTTTGAATCCTGATCTTTTCAAGTATAAATAATATCTGTCCAGTTTTATTACTGCCTTCTACTGCCAGTCCTGCAGAGCCAGTGAAAAAAGGATTCTCTCCATCACATCAGTCTACTCATACAATTTTGGTTACGTGCCCTTATGCTTGTTTCTGTCTCAAGCCTGTGAAGTGTTGGATTTGTACAGGAGTAAATAAGGGCAAAGATTTGACCATAAATGTCTGTCAGCCAGTGTACTACTGAGGTATGCTTGCGTGTAGAAAATACTCTTAGATTAAGACGGAGATTTTAGCAAGCAGCAAAGGGAAATGAAGTGTGAGGCAACAGAGGAATCAGCTAGAGTTTCTGTTCCTGCAGGCAGCCTCATCTAGTATAGACAACATGGGCAACAGGTCAGAATCGCTTTAGCTCCTGTGGCAGGTCAGTGGTCTAAATACAGTATAGTGTCTGCAGGAGCTTAATTGCCGTGTTCTTAGGCATTTCAGTGCTTTCTGGTTAAGGACATTACACCTGGCAGCTGGTGAATAAAGAGGTAATTTCTGTGACAAAGTAACTGTGCAGAAGATCTGACCTTGGCTGTTGATCTATTACCTGGAAGGAACGTGGCTCACCTTTGTCTCCCATGGCTTCTGTGTTTGCTGAAGGGGCAGATGAATAAGCATAGCTGTTAATGCATAAACTGAGCACATCAATGTGGGATTATTCAGAGATGGTATATGTTGATACCATGTTACCTCTCAAAAGGGGCTATGCTTTAATACATGTTTGAACTCTGGCTGTCCAGAGTTGTTTGTCATGTGCTAATATTTACATTCCTGTTTCAGGAAGTAGTCACACGTCTGTGTATTTGTGGTGGTTGTTTTTTGGGTTTTGTTTGTTTGTTTGTTTGTTTTGGGGGGGTTGTGTTGGGATGGGTTGGTTTCTTTGTTTAAGATTGAAAGTTTGCTATTAATTTTGAAAACTAAGGAACTTTCCCTCTCTTTTCATATTCCTTTATTCTTTCCAACCATGTCCCCTGGAAGAAATTGATCAGTGCAGTATTTGCAGCTTTCCTAATTAGTCCAATGATTATTGTATAGGAGATTGTGTAATGTTCTCCATACACAACTCATCTACGTGTGGAACCATTTAAAGTCTCTGATAAGTTCCTGCCATAGGGCAGGATGTTGTGTGACCTTCTCATCTGACCACCATATAACCATTCTACATCTATAATATGATTTGAACCTACAATAGGCTGCTTTTACATTATAAATTTGCTTGGAAATGACAGTTGATTCAATAACTAAGTGTGTCTACAGAGCACATTGCAATACTGCAGAGCTACCAAAGCATCCTCTGGCAAAGCTAGTTCAGGTACTACAAGCTGTGCAGCTACTTTAATGTAATATTTTTGCCAGACTAGCTGTAAATCTAGCCAGCAAGGCTGTTGCAGTGGGGTGCTGTCCACAAATTTGGCTTTGAATGAACTAATCTGGCTATGTTATATAGTATGCTGCTGTACTGGTTTTGGTCGAGATACCAGAGGCATGTATGTGTGTTCCTCTCCTGCAAATACAGCCTGTTTCTCAGCAGGACTAATTCGTTCATATAGGGTACTAAGTTGATACAATTGTTTCCATTTCTTCTGGTTTCTAGACAGAATTTTCAGAAAGTAGTTTCTGAATATATTTGCAGGATATAAACATGCTCTATGGTAAGCATCTGGTAAGCAGAACACTGCACCAGTATGGCTAGTCATCTTCTGATGACCACCATAGTTTAGCCAGTGCCAACTTTTGTATCTGAAAGGTGCTGAAATAGGTACACTCTTCAGTACAAACGGCAGGCTTTTAAGGCTTTCCATACATAGCCCACTTTTCATTGATATTGAGAACATGAGGAATTGAAGAGTTAGGGTCTGGCTGGGTGAGCTAATTTATAGCTGAAGATAAATGTGTTTAATATAATCAGGGTTTTTCTGTATATTTGGAAAAATACATCCTGAGCTTAAATTATTATTCTCATCATAAAATCCACATGTGTAGTTTTCCCTGTTGCTTTCCATATTAGCTTTGCAAAAATCCAGTAGATCAATATTAGGTATGGGGTATGAATTCTTTCTAGGTCATTATAAAACAAAGCTGTTGTAGAAATTCCTCTGTGGAAGTCAGTTTGTCCTTCTACTCAAGAGTTTTAGATGGAAGAGACAGACAAACAAATTGGATGTTTTGTTAGTATTTGAAAATGGTTTTTATTTTCCAGTACAGACAACATGATTTCTTCTTAATTAGCTTTCTGGCTAGTTGTATATATTTTTGTGAGGGTTTATTTGTTTTATATAATTTTCAGTTCTATAGAAATGTGATTGATTACTTGTATGATGGTAATAAGAAGGATACCCTTACATCTGAGTGTAATGTTGAGGCAGAATTGTGTTCAGAAGAAGCCACAAAGATGACTGTAAAATTTCCTTAAGACTTTCAAGAATACTAAATATTTTTTTACTTTATTTTCAGAAATATTTTGAAAGTGCAAATAATACAGTGGGGTTTATTACAATGGTTATAATGCTAACCTTTTGCTTGGTTTTTCATACCTCATAACTGACTCCTGGAATAGTGCAGAACACTCAACCCTGAAGAGAGAAAGGTGAAGAAAAATTGGGTTTGTACATAACTGTTGTTACAAACATTGTCTGTCTTTCTAGCTGGATTTTTTTCCCATTGCTAATTACAGAAGATTAAAGTTTCCTTATCAGCTGGCCTGCTTGACTCCCTAGGGAAATTAAGAAGCCTGGTTACTTTTTTCTTCTTTTTTGTTTTGAAAGATTGCTTGTTCAAATACAGTTCCGAGGAGAAAAATACAGAATGATTCAATGCACAGTATGGAGTCTGAAAAATAGTCACAATGATTGCTATGGATGGCAGTCTCTTTTCACCAAAAACTTCTAGCCGAGTTCCCAAATTGTATGTTTCTCTCATGTCTAGACCAATGCCATGTACATGAAGTTTCCTGTTATTTAATGTCATACTTAGTATTTAAACTTTAGAGATGTGGATTGTGTGTGTGTTTATGGGCATTGAGAAATAAAAATCTTTAATACTTTTGAATGGTTTCTTAAAAATATTGGGCCTATTCACTGGGAACTTGTTTCCTTCATATTTGAGATACCCGCATCTGAGCTATTCATCCTAGTTTCTCTGTATAGCCACTGGAGGGGGAACAGGTAATGTGAACTATGATTCATCTTCTAAAGGAAGCACCTTTAGGATGTGAGGAGTCATATACTTGAACCAGGTACTCATCTTCACTAACTTCAAAGGGTAACTAAGGTGATCAGCTCATGTACATGAAGAAAATCTCCCTTGATGCTTTCAGTAGAAGTAATCTGGTCCCATACACCTCTAGCATTCTCATACGTTATTGGCCCCAAGAATGTTAAAAGACTGGCATTGAAGCAAACTGGCAGGTACTTGCCTTGAGAGTTGGAGAGTTATAGTAGCTCGATGAGGGAATGGGATAAAACAAATTAGGATGACTTTGATAAATTTACATGACTGATAAAGCAATGAACATCAGGTCTCTGTGTATGAAAACAACATTCAGGTCCAGTTTGATTTGTTTCTATCTTGTTTATGTTTCTGTAATAAATGGTAACAACTTCTTATTGAAATGACTTTTGGCATCCTTCAACTCCAAAAAGCAATCTAAAGCAACTGTAAATTTGCAAAGGTGAGATTTTTTTTCTTAAATTGAAGTTGCTATTTCAAGCTGTAGCTGTTAGAATGTTAAATGCAATAGCATAGCCCATTTCAGTACGGTGAGGTTTTTTAATTTCAATATCTTGATATTTATTTGCTGGTTCCTGCCTTTGTTCCCTATTTCATGTGAGCATTGGTACATTTACATACCTGTCATTACATGTAGATTCCCAAGTGTTTCTTGGCTTGGCCCTTTCACTAAGTAGCGCTTCCACAGCTCTTGGTATGTCTCTACCAAATATCCGTTTATGAGGGCACATTTAACTCAAAAAGACTAAAATTTACTAGAAACAAAAGTGAGATTACATGGTTAGATTTCTGCAGTGTCAACACCGAGGGAGCCAAACTTCTGTCATGTACCACCATAAGCAGCAGGTGCCACTAATAATGGGCACTTCAGACTCTGTACTGGACTGCACGATAATGTGAAGTGGTTATACATAGGCGTAATGTTATAAACACAGCAACTTGGACTCTGTGCTGTAAGGAAAAAGGACCATATAGCCACTCCAAGGAAGAGGATGTGCACAGCTGCACGGGCTGTCAAGCACTGGAGGACGGATGACCTTTGTATTAGAATGCTGCACTGCAGTGTTGTGGCATGGGTGTTCAGTGTGTGTCAGTAATGATACATGTCAAGTGGTTCAGGGGGTTTTTAAACAATTTTTTTTGTTAGGAAAAAATCTCTACAGGTATTGTGTAGCTTGTGATTTCTGAGTTGAACTTTTTTTATGTAGTGTTAATCATTCAGATTGGCAATGGTATGTTCCAATTTATTTTCAGCTGAGCAAGAAGTAAATACATTTGTAATTAAGCCATGAAATAAATCTGCATTTTGCTATCTTTTTTTTTGACAGATTTTAATTATGACAATGGTGTTTATTTTTGTGGTAAGTTTTTGATTCAGGGTGATATGGTTTGAAGCTGGCTCCCTGCCAAGTCTCCAAACCTTACCACCAGAAGTCGTCCCCCCCCCAAACCTCAGGGAGAAGAGGGAGAAAAAACAACCAACTAAGAAAAACCCGAAACGAGAGAGACAGCTAAAGTGATATATATAAATATATTTACACTTATGTTACAATTGAAATATATACAATTTAAAATATATACAATTTCACAAGGGAAGGGGGAAGGGAAAGGGAACAAAACCAAAATAATATATATATATATCTATATCCCAATCAGTAGCCCGAGATCTAGTAACTAAAGAGTTAGCAAAGAAAATATCCCACCACTCTCCTTCGGACAACCGAGAGTTGCTCCGGGACGATCGCCGGCAACCTCTGCCTCCCAAGGTCGACAAGGCCTTACCAAGCCTCGCTCCCCAACACGGCAGACTCAACAGCAGGGAACCTGCACCTCCAAGCCGCCGGAAGGAATGAGGGCGAAGGCCTCTCCTCCTTTCTTCTTATAATCTGGCTTACGTAAAAATCGTAGGGAATACTGGGTAAATCTGGACCCTTCCTTGGTTACAAACTGGTCACCAAGGAAGGCCTAGCCCAAACCACCACACAGGGTTCTGCTGAAAGCTAGGAAGAAAATCTAATGGGCCTAGTAGACTGGCACTGGGACATACGGGAAGATGTTCTCTTGGAGTACTAGTTCAAAATCTTGATTCAGCGTGATTGTATTGATGCTGAATGTGTGTGCCTAAACAACAAAAAGAAGCACTTGAAGAAAGTGACAGAATACATAACTCATTAATTCAAGCTTTAAAACAATAAAATATAGGAAAAAAGCAAGAGCTTCTGCCCCAAATGCTGAGCAATCTTGTTGACTGTCAAAATGAGATTTGTTACCTGGTGTGCAGCAAGCCAATAATTGCACAGTCAAGAGAGACATTGATTATTTATTTCTGAGATGTGCAAGCCTGGGTGCTTGGTGGTATTCCACAAATCAAGCACACCATCTATCAAAACCTTTTACTATTTATACATTTTAGCAAACAAAGGAATTAGTGTTCATTGACTACAAGTTATATAGTTCTCTTACTAATTAGTATTCTACCTTCTATTGGTTAATGATTCTCTTGCTTTTCATGCTAATTAGTCCACATGCTGAGTCTTTCCTTTTGGGTCAGGTTTCTTTAGTCGGTGGTCACAAAAAAACCCCTGCTGGAATTACCTTTACCCAGCTGGAGCTGATTTCAGCGCAGTTGCTGAGTTGGGTTTATCAGTTTCTTCCTTATCTTGGGAATTCTACCAGATGTCTTTGAGGCCTGTAAATTCTGCATTCTTTGTGTCCACTATCAGTGGTGCATCCTTCTTCCCAAGCTTTGTTTAACCTCCCCCTAGGTCTGAGATCACTGAAGCATGTCAAGCCCTAAACTTTTCACAAGGCAATTCTACTAACAAATAATTTGTTTTTCTAATAGCCAAAGACTGCTTTGAGATCTCCCCTGTCTCCTCCAGGCTGAACAAACCAAGTGACTTAAGCTGCTCCTGGTATGGGTTCCCCTGTAGATCCTTCACCATCTTTGTAGCCCCCCTTTGGATGCTAATAGCTTTATATCTTTCTTATGTTATGGTGTACCCAGGATTCAAGGTGAGGCCACCCCAGTGCAGACCAGAGCAGGACAATGACCTCCCTTGACCAGCTGTCGATGCTTTGCCTGATGGCCCCCAAGACACAGTTAGCCCTCCTGGCTGCCAGGGCACTGCTGACTCATAATTCAAACTGCCGTTGACCTGGACCCCAGGTCTGTTTCTGCAGCACTGGTGAACAAGTACTGAATCGTTCTATGTCAGTGCATAAGGGGGTATCTCGCTCTTATTCCTCTTACCAGCACATTCATTTTCTTACAGTGATTTTACTGTGTGGAGCCTTCACGTACTTTGCTAAAGAGCAGACCAATCCCTACAGAGCCAGCTTGAGGGAGTCCTCCGCTGAGACATGGAAGCTGCCAGCAAAGGCGGTAAACAGAAAGGCACTTGGCACCCTCCAAGTTTAAAACTCCTACTTCAGGCTCAAGACCAATCTCTGCAGCCAAAACCCCTTCTTGTTGAGTAGTCAACAGCGTCTGTAAAATAACGCGGTTTTTAAAGCTCCCCAAGAGCCAGACTGACTAGCTGTGGTTGTATTGCTTGACACACGTTTTTTACGGCCTCCAGGAGGCGAGGCCCCGGCACCGGGTTTTGGGAGCGGCTCTTCCCGGGAGCTGGGCGCTGCTCCTGCTTTGGCAGGCGGCGCAGGCTGCCCCGCTCTCCCGGCTCCGGGCCCGGCTGCCCGCCCTGCCCGCGCTCCCGCTCCCCCGCCAAGCACGCTCCGTCCTCTGGCAGCCGCGCTGGCCCGGGCAAACAACCCCGGCTCGGCCCCCCCAGCCCCGGGCACCCGGCGCTGCCCCGGCCGCGGGGGAGGGAGCGCGGGCAGGCACCGCCCCGCGTCCCGCTCCGCCCCGCCGCCTACTCCCCGGAGAGGCGCCCCGGGACAGGCAGAAGGCGGCGGCCGCAGGCACGAGTGAAGGCGAGGACACAACAGCAGCGCTGGCGAGTGAGTGCCCCGGCCGAGCGCCGTGGGGCCGGGCTGAGCGGGGCGGGGCGGTCCGCCCTTCTCTCCACGTGATGCGCGGCCCCACCGGGGGAGCGGAGACGGGGAGCGGGGGTGGTTCGGTGCAGGCTGCGGGTCCCGCCGGGGCCGGCGCGGGGGGCCGGCGGCGGGGAAGGGCGCTGCCGGCTGTCCCGCACCGCCGGGGAGCTCGCCTGCCGCCGCCGGGCTGCGGGCGGCGGGGGCGGGCCCGTAAGAGCCACGTGTGACAGCGGCGCGGCTCGGCCCCGCCGGCCGGGCGGGAGCTGCGGGCGGCTCGGCCTCTGCCCCCGGGCTCGGGGCTCCCTCCCGGGGACCCGGCTGCCCGTGGTGCGAGAGCACAGCAGCGCCTCGCACCCCAGAGGTGGGAGGAGTGGCTCATCGGTGACACGGCCGAGCGCAGGAGGAGCTGTCCGTGACGCTCTCGCCTTCTCCTGGTGGCCAGGCGCATCCTCCAAACGAGAGTGTTCGTTATGATCCAGATACTCGTTTTAGTAACATACCTTTGCCTTGGTAGTGGTTAGTGACGTGTATTTGAAGAGCTAGTATCTACATTAAAGGGAAAAGAGAAAGGAAATAGTTTAGGTGTCATACATGAAGAGAAGCTGTGACAATCGATAACTGTCTACACCTGTCCAGCGGAAGGTGTCCCTGCCCACGGGAGGAGGGTTGGCACTAGGTGATTTTTAAGGTCCCTTCCAACCCAAACCATTTTATGTTTCTGTATCCTCACAAGATGACGTGTCAGACTTCAGAGCATTTATCTTTTTGCCCTCAGTGTTTGGACCACAATGTTGGGGGTTTGTTATCCCTTTTTTTTTTTTTTTAATTGTCTTAGGGATTTAATTTTGCTATGTTTTCATCTCCTACCTTTTCTGTATCCTTTTCCATTATAGAGTTATGTAAACATTTTGCTTTTGAGTTAACCTGCATTTAGTTGTATCTGTGTTAACTCCAGACAATTAATTTCCTAATTTTTTGCTCCAGGAATTTTTTAATTTGCTGCTTCTGTAATTTTTGCCCTTCTTTGAAAATAGCAAGGTAGTGAATTATATAGAGGTTAACATACAGAGGCACAATTGTAAATATTTCCGTGACCAAGTTATTTGATGTTGATCTCTGTGTGGAGTGGACTTGTTTTATATACACTCTAGTTTAAGCAGGCAGTCAAACTGGAAAAGCAATTTCTTGACAATTAAAATTGTTCATGGTGTGACAAAGGCAATTAAGAGAGGCTCTAAATTTTGCATCTGAACAAAAAACAGGCATATTTCCATCGTTCTTCACACACACACACTCCCCAAGAAAAGCCTTTAAAACCTACACCATGTCTTAAAAATATAATTATCCTTCGTCAGCACTCATCTCCTGCCCTCACTCCATCATAGCTGTCAAAGTCACATGAACACTAACATGTCTTATTATCAAAGTGTAGTACATCATTCTTCTGCCATGGGTAAATAAAAGAACAGATGTCTCTGTTACTGTCTGTCTCAAAACGTGAATTGTCAAGGGTGTTACATGTTAAACAAAAGAAAAAATTACCTAAATATACATTGCTAATATTTTTAAATCTGCATTCTCCTGCTGACAACTATTAACTTCTTGATATGTGCGTCATAGTTCATTTTCCATGCGTTTTTGCAGCGTGTTTGCTCCTCACTTTCCAAATTGCTGTGGTGTTCTGCATCAGCTTTGCAAGGAAGTTTCTTTGAGCTTGTTTATGTGTTTGAGACCACTGGAATATTGAACAGAGCTTTGCTTAATGACTGAAGAGTGTGTGTCATATTGTTGATAAGTTTCATGTCACCTGCTGCTTATAGTTTTTCTTCTGGTGACTTTATATGTGTGATCAGAGTTTTCCCTTCCTTATTTTCTCATATTCAGGATAGAAGTATTGCTTTGAATGCTTCATTTACTGCAGTGTCTGCTTTTTATCCTTTAGAAAGGATCACCGTGTCAGTTCATGCTTTCCTTGGCTGATTTTTGACATGGAATGCTAGGTGCCTCCAGAGAGTGGAGGGCACGAACCAGGCCTGGTTTGAACCAGACATCCTGCTGTCTCTGCCACCCACTGTTCTGCAGAGTACAGCCTCTTCCCTTGAAAAAGTGTTGTCTAGCATTGGCTTTAGCCCTGCTCTGAGGGGGAGGCTGGGCTGGATGACCTTCAAAGGTCCCTTCCAACCAACATTTCTCTGAGTCTGTCTATACATTCGCATAACTCCCAATAGTAACCCAACTGCCTATTTCAAAAGAAGTTTCCTCTTGAAAATTACTTTTATCTGACTACTGATGTGATGAAACCACAGGTTTTGCCTGTTCTTCTTCTCTTGTTCATATGG